AAAGTTTTAATAGGAAACTCTTAAAAATCATCATCTAGGTCTTACCTCTCTAGAGGGGAGAGAGCTATAACTTTGTATCCACACAAACTAACCCACACAAGGTAGGAAACTTAGTCTCAAAAACACTAGTATAGGTAATATAGAGCTAAAAACCCGTTAGTTATTTGATTCCTAAATCCATGTTTTTACCTTATTGTAATCCTACTAAAGTCCTCATCTGGGCTTTAAGTTTTTGTTCATTTGCTTGTTTTTGTGAACTACAGACAATTCTGTCTTCATCCTTATATTCCTGGCAACTCATCAGGGTTCCTTAATACAAGGGTTACTACCTGGACCTACCAAGCCATTTTCAAGACTTCCTGTGTTGCCTTTTTTCCCATTAACAAGGCATACAACCTAGCTCCAAAGTCAAGGTTAGTGAAAATCTATGGTAAAGAAATTTCATGGAACTTCACTATATGGAAATGCTAATTAAATCTTTCTTCCTACTAAAACGGAGTAGAAATAGTCTTTAAAGAAGAGCTGAAAAGAATCCAGAAATTCCAAAATCCCTCTGTTTATTTACTTAACATTTTTGTGTTCTTTTGTATTTTCTCTCCTTGTGTATGTGACTTCCCAATTCATGGCTAATGGCTAAGATTCTGGACCTTCGATTTATTAATGTCAACTACAATGCCAAGAGTCCAAGAAATATTTGATCTAAACTGGGAGGACCCCACACAATTTTTAAAGAATCTGTCACTCTATGAAATTGCAGGTGTCTTTTTTTCGCTGGCAAGATTATTTTCCAAGTTAAGAGACAACCAGATTTCCCCCCTCCTCCTTCCCACCAATCTTCCATACCAACACATATATACACAGTCACATACTTCATATTTGAGGCCAATTTCATGGAAAGCAGAATCTTAACATTTCCAGCAATGCCCACATGATCTGGTAACCTTGGCAATGAGTAAAAAACGCTACTTACTTCTCTGAAGTAAGCTGCAGTTTGAACGAGTTGTAAGCATGAGGCCAAAATAAAGTATTTCCTCATTTTCCCTGCTATGGTTTGCTGCAAGGATCGAAGTGCTCAAGAATCAAAGGTGGGGAAATGGCTGTAGATCATTGCTGGATTCTTGCTGAAAGCAGGACAGGTGAAATCTTCAGGGATCACTTCTTCCACTTCACACTTTCTGAAAACAGTATTCTCAGTAATAGGCTAATCACACCAGTGATCAAATTACTTGAGGCCAGTATTTGATTTTATAGAGAGCAACTGCAGTATCAGAAACAGCTTTGACCCCGGGTGAAAAGCTCTCATGCACCTGCCAGTTTTCCTCAGGATCATCAATACTCAATGCCAACATTTACCTTTACTTGGTTACCATTTACAGTTGACACCAATGTAAATGAGAGAGTAGAGGGGAACCTGAGCACACACACACAAATTTTTTTTTTTATTTTTTAGATGTAATGCAAATAACCATATCTAATACTCTTTTAGAAAACAAAAGAAATGGAAAACATGCTCAAAAAACAAGAAAACAAGTTATACTTTTCATAAGGCACCACCAAAAACCTTGGTAAATCAGAGTCCATATTATATTTAAGTGTCTCACTAACAAGTAAATAAATATGTAAGAGAATAATCAATAGAGGGTCTTGAGGTTTACAAAAGACATTCCTGTTTAGACATCTTGGAGTATTGCAAAAGTAAGAATAAGCTGGATACATCTACACCCGTCACATCCTTTCCCAGTGCACATCAGCCATTGCATAGTGGTGAGTGGATTATGATCCAGGCCAAGAGAAAACTGCAATTCCAAAATAGATTTACATCCAATTGTTTCCTTCTCATGCTGTAAATATCATTCGGCACATCCATATCCAAAGAAGTAATGATATGCTTTAATTTAAAAAGGGGGTGGGGGGCAGGAGTTTCAAAAGGTGAAAGACAAATCAATTGCCTGCTTTTTAAAATTTATACTTAACAGACCTACTGCAAAAGCAACTTTCTACACACATATGAAGCTAGTTCCGTATGTAAACCTTTATTGAACCTGGTTATATGTGGGACTTGAACAGCTTAATTTTTCACAATTTACAATTTTTAAATCCCACTCCAAATTGTCACTTTCTCCTTTAAAAAGGATATAGTCTCATCCTTTGAAAGAAAGGCTTTCTCAGTTTTTCCTTTCATCCTACTTTAAGTTCTGGCTCATATTCATACAAATGTATTACAGAATTAAAATACTGACAAGCAGGGAGTTTCTTTTACGTGCACTCAACTGCATCCAGAATGTTAAAATTAAGAAAAACAAATAAACAGACATTTCTTGGACACCAAAGACAAAAGCAGAGAAGAACAGAAGTGAAGCACAGGTAAAAACTGTTCTAATCTTACAGGTCTGCTAGCTTTGCTAGGATTTTGATTATTAAAGTACATAGTAGACAATCACAGATTTAATGCTTATCTTTTCAATTATTCAAAGTATGATATACAGTAATTTGTAATTTTATTGAGGCACAAATTCGAATCATGCAGTGCAAAGGTGGTCTGCAGCAACTTAGGAAGGGAGTGTAACATCTAACTCTCAACATGGCTTTGTTGCAATAACTATCAGGAACTAAAATAGACATTTGTGGGGAAAAAATGTCCCCTCTTCTGCCAATAAGAAAGCTAACTACTACTAATGCTATAGTTGCATTTGTAAACTTGGGAATTTGCATAGTTCCACTGACCTACCCCTTTGAGAATATTAAAGACTTATGTGCATTTTTTTAATTTTTCTTTCTATAACCTTCCCCAACATAGTTATAATGAAGACAGTAAGAAATATCTTTGAAAAAAACTATCACAGAATTAGTTAAAACACCAATGGTGAAAAGTTGCAACTCTGAAAAGTAAAGGAACATTTTAAATCAAATTTTAATATAAAATGTTACAACAATGAAGAATGGAGTAAGTTGTAAATAGGTAATTTCCTCTAACTGAAAACAATATTTTATATTAGAACACCAGCATGTCTTTAAATAGATGAATCTTAGTTCATTAATTCCAAAATTATAGACTTGTATATGTTCGTTTTTCTCTCTCTCTTTTTTAAACTAATGTCTCTCATCTGTTCTTCTCAGCCTTTGGTCAAGAGTCAGACCAAATCCTCTGTGACTTTCAAATAAATACAGAAAATCCCACCAAATCAACTGAATGATATATTTAAGTTTCAAAACAGAAGATAAACAGGGAGCTACTCATAGTTGAAGACTGTCTTGCATTTTTCTCTCAGATCTCCAGCTGGTAAATACTGTATTAAGGACATAAATTATTTCCTCAACAGCCACCTACATCCACCCACCATACTCCAAGAAGCAGAGCACCAACTTAACTATCTTTCTCAGCATCCTCATGCCCTTCCACTGATGGCTGAGTAAAGTTAATGGGTGACTAGGAAGAAAAGATAAACTATTTTTAAATGTTTTCCACCAAGGCAGCCAGCACTTAGAACTGCATTCAATTTTTAACCCAAAAGTATTTGAAGATCTTTGCAGAGAAGACGAAAGGCAAAAAATATTGTGCTTTCTTTTATAACATCAACCAGATAAAATTCTTAGGTAATAATATCTTTATAGACTGGCAAAATTAAAATTTATGAAATTGGTTAAAAGTTACCTTGTAATATCCCTTGAAATCTTAAATCATATACACACTTGAGATCATGCAGAGTGACGCTTATGACCCTTGTAACAGGTCAAAACACTAAAAATGTTATGCAATATTAAGGGAAGACTAAAAATTAGGTAGTTTGAACCACAGAGAAAGCATTTACAGAAACTGGGTTTTACAGGAAAAGTTTTTGTTTTTTTTTGTTTTGTTTTGTTTTGTTTTGTTTTTTTAGCAAGATGCCTTTTGAGTTAAATCTCATACCCACTCAAACTGTAACTGGACAGTACATTTCACTTCTAGTTACTAGAAGACATTTCTTTAAAAGAGACTGGGGCAAAAAGGGAAAAGGAGATTATAAGCTGTTCTCTAGGCCCACCCTGCTCCCCCCTTTTAAAAAGAAAACTGATAAATTAAGCCAAACCACAGATTTTTAAACAAAATAAAGGGACACGGCATAGTGAAGACAAAACACTATTTTTAGTTTTTTGGGGTTCTTTGTCCTTTAAAAAAAATTAGTCCCCTTCTAATAAAAGTTTCCATACAGCTTACCTAACACCTTAACAATAGAGAACACAACAGGAGGGAAGAGGGCACAGCACCATAGTTTCAAACATTTACATACAAAAACAAAACAAACCAGCCATCACAGAAATAGTAAGACCAAGTTTCCCAATAGACAGAGACAAGTTCCAACAACACAAAGGAAATACAATGATCTATGAACAAAAACAAGATGGAAGATGTGGTCAGGCTAGGATGGAGAAGGAAGTGCTAACAACTCCTTGTACTACAAGGAAGGAATGGGGTTTCTTTATTAAAAAGCAAAAAGAGAAAGCAAGCCCCCAAATGGATTTTTGATGCTGAAAACTCTGTCATATGCTGCTGGTAACAGTAAATATATATATTTATATATCCATATATGTATATTAAAAAAGGAAAAATAATCTATTTATAGAACAGTCAGTAGTCAGAGACATTTAGAAAAAAGTAAAAACAAGTCCTTTTTTCTTTTTTTAAAAATGGATTTACTAAAACAACTTTATCACCCGGAGGTGCTACAACCCCATATCCTCTGATGAAGCCAGGGTGTTATTCAACAGCATCTGCTGTGGGCCAGTATCAGAAATTGCCAGTGTTGGAAACAGCAGACATCGGGGTCAGGGCTGCAAGGCAAAAAGCTGTTATTTGCTGGTCTTGCTCATGGCCATGCCTGAAGCCTGGTGGTCTGGTATACTTGTAAATGAAGGTTTCCCCGAAAAGCATGCATCACTGGGTCTCAGTAAAACATTCTGACTTGTCTTCTTTTCTTTTGCAGGAGCCTGGATCCATGTACCTGCTCGTCTCTAAAATGCAGACCCAAGACAGCAAGACTTCTCAAAGCCAAAAAAAAAAAAAAAAAGGCTCCTTGCCTTGAAATAAGAAAAGCTCTTCTTCCCAGAATCCAATCTAGTCAGACTTCTGAACTAGATGACATACTCCTCCTTAGGAAGATAAGGTGATCTGCCTCTCATTTGGGGTTTTCTTCTTGGTACAAACACACACAAGTAGCTGGGGTCTAGACTGTGCTACTATCCCATGACTACTAACAGGAGTAACTTTGGCCCTGTTGCTCCCATGGCTATATCCGTAGGGCATTACATGCCAGGTAACAGTGGAAGGAGAGTGGTACTCTCACTCCTGTCCAACTGTCCTAAGGAGAGCCAAGTAGTCAGCACCTCCAGACAGTACTGCCTCTAGGTTGTAAACCTCTAACTAGTATCAACTGGCCATAAGCCACATCCTACATGCCCTGCTAACATACCAATGTATTAATGCCAACCAGCCACTCTAGAGCTCAATCAAATGTCTGGCTGTAAAGTAACATACCGTACTCAGAGGAGACATAAACTGAAATACTGGCTGCTGTACCAAAGACACCCTCTGCATAGATGTGTTGAAGAGAATGTAGGTCACACAGTCCATGCAAAGAGGAAGTCCGCTAAGAGGACTTTCTCTGAAGGCCATTTGTCTTTGGAAGCAACATTCTGAGTGGATCTAAACCACTCTACTTGATGACTAAGGTCTCAATGTGGTCCATTTCCCCCCATGTCCCAAACTAACCCAGCAACTGCTAACTGGTCTCCTTAAGATCCTCCATTGGTAGTTTGTAGCTCATTATGAAGGAAGGAGGTGGTGCTTGACCTGGGCTATCTGGCCCTTGCTTCTTTGCACAGTTTATACAGATGTAATCTTCATTTTCAGCCATTTCTGGAGATACACCCACACAAACTTGATGAAACCACTCATCACAGCCACCATCACATTGTACCCAGTCTACCTGTAGGAGACAAGATTGAGGAATGTTTAGGTTACATAAACATTAAGCCTAGAAAAAAAAAAAGCAAACCAAAGAGCTTTCTTGGCTTAAATGATAGCAAATAACTGGGATGTCCAGAGACAGACAATGACTTTTTATGGGGTTACTTTTTAAAGAAAGAAGCTGGGAAGTTAATATCCCCAAATTATATTTTACCACAGTATGTCCTCAAAATTAGGCCTCTTAGGTACTCCATTACCTCATAAATACCCAGGGATCCTTTTGAGGCAGAAACATGTTTGAGAAAAACTTGACAAAAAAGGAACTTCTAATAGAGCAGCCAAGTAGTTTTAGCTAATATTAACAATTTCTAGACGCTAAGACAATGCAATTATCAATCAAGAAAGGAAGAGTACAACAATGTGAAGGCAATCCTGTGTATTAGCTTTATTTCAAAGAGATAAGCCAAAGTACTAAGAGCATTAAATACCTTTTTAGAAAAGCAGTCACATAGGCCACTTTTAAAACTAATATTTTTTATTCTTCTCTTCTTCCGTTACAAATACAACTCCCTATAAAAAGTTAGCAAATATCAGAGGTCAAATCTTACAAATTAACCAATTAAAACAGTCAAAGTCACAGGTCAATAGATCACTCCGGGGTTTAAAATTCAAGTCTGTATAACTGATAGGTCAGTGGCAGATGCCAAGCAAACTTTGACCCTTCAGAGGATATTGTAATCATAGAAGGCTAGAAAGAGACTGTAGTTTGGTGACTTTATTAAGCCTTGGGCCTGGAGTTAACAATAAGATGATTTGGGTTTTTGTATCTGGAGGGTGAATGTGGTAGTTTTTGTAACTGATGTCATGGCAGATGAGAACCTTTAAGATTAAAAGAGCTACTCTTCCTCTCCCCAGTACAAAGTGGATCATCTCACTGGCAACTTACAAAGCCACTTACAATGAGCTTTGCCAGTTTTCAGAGCAAAGTAAGGAGTATGAAGGGATCAAAGAGGTACCTCAGTGAAGTTTATGAGAAAAGAACAGAGGAGGAAGGTTTGGGCTAGGTAAATGAGTTTCAGGGAAAGGGAGTAGTTTCTAAATTAGTTTCCGAGGACTCAAAGAGTTATCAAAATGATGATGCTCATGTTAGTGGTTTTAGGGTTGTAATAAAGCATGGGAAAAATCACTTGTCAAAAGAATCTTTCTGCTTCCGTTGTTCCTATTCTAGAGTTCTAGTTATTAGGAGACAGTGCTGTGTACAGTAAAGATTACTGAATTCAGTCACAAGTTCTGAATTCTGATGTGTACAATTTGAGGCAAAGAATTTAATCTCAGTAAGGCTCAATTTCCTCATCTGTAAAATGGAGATAATATTCTGTTTACAGGATTATTTAGAGGATTAAATGAAATAATGCATGGCAAAACAGCTAGCTCACCGTGTGGCATCTTTCAAGATCACAATTTCATGCCTCTACTCATTATACTATCTTACACAAGATCCATTTTGCACTGTGAAATAACTGCCTGTAGCACTGCTTCTCAAAAACGTGTAGACCACTTACATAGAATTGCCTGTTGTGTTCATTAAAAGTATGGCTGAGACCCATCCCAAACCCAAACCTACAGACTCAGAATATCTTGGGGGTACAAACCAGAGCTTAGATTTTCAGTCAGATTCTAGGTAACTTTTATATTTTCTAAATTTGATCATTCCTAGTACTTTGTGATACTGCTTGCTGGTAAATTCAGAGCAATTTAACAATTCCTTCCTAAAACAAATTCTGTTTTTGTTCTGTAATTATTTATGTAATATTTAGTTTCTGAAGTCAGTGCAGTAAAGAAAATTGAACTGTTCCTATTGCAGCAAACTACTATATGAAAGACAAAAGAGGGAGATAAATGACTTCTTTGCAACAAACTAAACATATAGGTACTATAGCAATGAAGATTTACAAAGTGCTAATGTGATGGTAAGTAACTTGGGGTTAAGTGTTTTGGCTATTTGGCACTGGTAACGAGAACTGGGAAGATGATCTGTGTTTCTTTGGGCTGCCCAAATTGGAGATATTACCCTGTTTATGACGCCACCCTGAACCAGTAGATAACTCTAGTCCTACTTTCAACCTTCTTAATCTAGTCCAGTCCCCATTCATGCTAACCCACAGGATAAGAAAGTTCCCAATTTATCAGTATATCCTGCCAAGAAAAAGTGGCCCTATCTTTTTAAAAATCTAATTCTGCACTGCATTCCAGGTTTCCCCAAATTAAATCTATCAGTCTCAAGTAAGGATGAGAACACATTCTCTTTTGTGATTTTTGGCTAGAGGTCCACTCCTAGAGCCTAGCTCTCCCACCATTCCAAAACAGTATAAAACTTTTTTTGAGACATTTATCAGTACACAGATTGTATCTCAGCCTACAGGTTATATATCAATTTACCCTAATAATCTAGCAGGGAAAAAACAATCTTTCCCTTACTAGTATCTTTTTGTCATGTTCATGTACTAATAACAATCCAATTCCAGTGCTACTTCTGTTTGAAAAGGCCCACAGGGTCATAAAGCAAACCAAAGTTTGGAATTTCAACTGAATTAACTGAAGATTTGACACAGGGGCAACAGATTGTGTACTAGGCTGAAAACTCAAGAACACAGAACTTGGTTATCTGCACATTAGGCTCTAATAGTCACTTCCCCTTTCATTGGTTTTAAGAGATTTACTTATCAAATCACAAAAATAATTAAAAAACTTCACAGCTGTGAGTTGTTCAAATATTAACTGATAAAAGATTTGAAAGTATAGTACAAATACATTACCAGTTGGATTGGGGGAAATTTTTAAAGAGAAATACATTAAATACAGGAAATAATGTTAATTTAGTATTTCCTGTGTTGCTATACGGTTTCATATTTACACTTAAAAATATTTACCATATTTCATTTTGTTCACTTCACAGGGCATTATTACTGCACTGGGAAAAAAGAAAGCCTGGTGATTTAGTGATAGTCTTAGCTTAGTTACCCGACCAAGCTTTTGTTATTTTGGCATTCAATCTCTACTGCACCAAGGTTCCCTGCAAAAACCAGATTCGAAAATTAAAACAATTCACTTAATGAAGTACAAGAGAACAATGTTCAGAATCCTTGTGTATATTTTTTGATGCTCTTAACATTAAGTGGCCAGCTCTCTTAGCCCAAGATTGATGTGTTTCCCAAGATAGGAATTTCAACGCTAAAACTGGAAAGTCCAGGCAAACTGGGACGGTTCGTTACCCAATCTCCACATCACCACTTGTTGAGGGTAATCCAACCTTTGATTATCTGTGCTTTTAAAAAGAGATATGAACTAATAATGGAAATGCAAATACTTTGGCTGAGATAGCACCCTATGAAAATCTTTTAATACATCAGAGTGGCTGACAAAGAGTAAAAGTGAGACATAGGTTTATCAACTTCATCTCTATTTAACCATCCAAAACTTATGGAAATAGTAATGGGTAAGGAAAAGGCCCACAGGAAAAAGGTAAAAAAAGGTAAGGGAAAAAAGTCTATTTTCATAAGATGATTAAATATTTATTCTAATACAGAAAAAAAAGGTTACTTAAATGTTAGCTTAAAGAATGTGCTCCTTTTCAAGTTAACTTCTTTTACTTTTGGTATCAGGAAGACTGAATGAAAGTGGCAGACTTCAGAGAGAAGAAGATTCCGAACCTTAAAACTAATTTTTTGAAAATAGTTATTTTTTTTCATTATTTTAAAAATTAATTACACCTTGAAATTAATTTGATAATGATGGAAAAGAGACTTTTTTTAAAACCCTTTCCCATTATTCTGGTAATATTTTTCTTTTCTCTTTCTAAAACATCTTGAACTTGAGGCTAGGTATGTTTAGGTAGCCCTTCAAAGTTTTCTCAATCTGCACATTGTGGGGGAAAAGTAATAGTAATTATTGGTTAGAAATATGGTAAATGTACATTTACCTAAATATGAACGAACCCTAGAAGTTATTTTTTGCTTCGTGATATTTAAAGAACACCGACTTCTCTAAAAACATTCTTCTTTTTTACCATCATTTTATGCCATGCATTAATTTGATTTTCTTAGAAAAATACTATACTTCAAATGGAGAAAGTTGTAAAATTCTTTACAAAGCAGTTAAAGAAATACACCTCTTATTTAGTAAAACTAGTTTCAAGAACAAACTTGGAGAACCATAAATATTGCAAAACAGCAACGATGAGCAAAATGTTTACAATCTGAAATAATTTGTTTAAAATTAAACACATTAGGGGCACCTGGGTGGTTCAGTCAGTTAAGCATCTGACTTTGGCTCAGTTCATGAGTTAGAGCCCTGCAATTGGGCTCAGTGCTGATGCCTCAGAGCCTGAAGCCTGCTTCAGATTCTGTGTCTCCCTCTCTCTCTACCCCTCCCTTGCTCGTGCTCTCTCTCTCTCTCAAAAATAAACATATAAAAAAATTTATTAAAAATTTTATTTAAAAAGTTAAAAAAAACACACTATAAAAATGCAACATTTAGGGGTGCCTGGGTGACCCAGTCAGTTATGTGTCCAACTTTGGCTCAGGTCATGATCTCTCTGTTCATGAGTTCGAGCCCTACATCGGGCTCTCTGCTGTCAACACAAAGCCTGCTTTGGATCCTCTGTCTCCCTCTCTCTTGGGCCGTACCTCCCCGCCCCCCCCCCCCTCTCAAAAAAAAAAATAAATAAATAAATAAATAAAAAATTACAACATTTACTGTTTCTTTTATGTAAAGTAATGACAGGTTAAGACACATCTTCCTCACCTTTGTATGTGTTTCAACAGTTTGAAATAGACATTTTTTCTGAATGTGCAGCTAAATCTCCCTCAGTTCTATTAAGACAACTTTCCAGATTAAAAAAAAAAAAATACCTTTAATACTAGGAGCAAATCTCAGGGCTCACTTAAAAATAACCATTACATCTTAACATTTATACTGCATTTTGGTTAACAAGTGTTTTCATATAAATGATCTCCTCTTAATTCTCATAACCCTGAGAGTAAGCAGGGCATGTTTAAATTATTTAACAATTTTATAGCAGATGATAAAAAAAACTGTAACGTTTATATGCTACAGGAAGATAATGGAAGACCTGAGCCATATTTACGATGCTTAGCAGAAGAGGGGAAAGATTATTAGGTGGAAAGGTGAAAAAACAGAAAGCAAAAAGTTTGTGATGGATATAAACACTGTAGGAATGATGATAGGAAAGCTTAAAAAAGAAACACCATCTTGCTGCCAGTCCTGAAACTGCCATAAAATTAGTTTAAAAAAGGGAGAAGGTTCTGCCAACATGAGCTGCCAATAGTTCTTCAGTACCCAAAGAAAAAGTTAACCTTTCATCAGCTTCTTTAATAAACAAATTCGGATGAGAAGAAATTCAAAATGAAAGAAAAATAATATACACACATATATAACGTAACTACTAAAATGTTTTAAAATGTTCATAAAATAGAAACATTTATATAATAAAGATACAAAAGTGAACAGGTTTTATGACATAATATAAAATAAGCCATATAGGAAAAAAGACTAGAAGGAAACACAGTAAAATATTTGTAGATATTGTCCTTGGAAGGTTAGACTATGGGATATGTGTCTTACCATATATATATTCATTTTCTAAAAATGAGTGGAAAACATTTAATAAGTGTAATTTAAATATAAGTGTCATTCAGTTTTGGAATGTGCTTTTGTACTTACATCTTAATTATTGGTGGGGTGGGGGATATTAGTGGAGAAAACCTGGTCTGGGAGCCAGGAAACCACGGTTCTACGTTTGGCTTTGCACTAATTAGCTCTATGACTTTGGTCACATCATTTATCTTCACTGAGTCCTGGTTTCATCATTTGTAAAATGAAGAGCCTGGACAAGGTGACCTCTTCAAGCTCTAACAAGAATCTGACTGAGGAGGGAAGTAAGGGAATAATGGTGCAGTTATATTCTCTGTTCATATATTCAAATTGAAGAGGTATTACAATTTTAAGTACCAAGTGGTATAATAAACATTATCAAATAAAAACTATGAATTTACTAATCATCTTGATGGGAACCATAACAGATGCCTCCAGTCATTGAATGAACTGGGATTTTTCATAAAGTCCATCCATCTTACTCAGAAGTTCATAACATCAATATTACTTAAAGAATGGCCATCACATAATTAATATACTGAAACTTTTAAAATAATACCTTTAAAGATCTTAATTATTTCTTCACAAGGTATTTGAAAAACTCTTACTCCATTTAGAAGAATGCACACAGGCCTGAGTGTTGGTAAGACACAGACCAAACGGGAAGATTTAACCCCTTAGTTTAGGTCTTTAGAACAAATCTTAATGCAATTTTCCAGAGCTCTTAAAATACTGGCCCAGAATGTTTTCAGGCCACTGTGACTAACCGACAAGGTATTTAGTTCTCTGAGTCACCCTACAGGGAAGGCAAAATACTATACCAAAACTGCTATGCCAGCTGCACATGAAATGCACTGCTACCCAGGGTTATCACATAGCTTCTCTCTGCTCTCGTCTCTTTATGTTCACTAAGTACCTGATTTTTAAAGCACAATATCTCTTCTATTAAGCACACTGACCTAACAGCCTCATAATTCACAACAGTTTATAGAAACTGTAGAAAACATATTAAGTTGGAAGCCCAAATTCTAGAATCAAAACCAGATTCTCATTTCATCAAACTTCTGTCTGGAGACTGCTGCTCCTTGTCCTCTCTCCCACGTGACCGTATAGTTAAGAGCTCACCTTGTCCTTGCAGGGCCTCTGGCAGTTCTGTGCTGCACACACAGCATTTTCGTCATCGGACTCTTCCGCTCCTGACCAGTCGTACTTTGAGGGGATGTCCAGCACTTTTTTCTCTCTCTTCTTCTCAGTAGTCTCTTTCACAAGGTCAACTTTGGCTGCAGCAGCCTTCTCCTTCTTCTTCTTTCTCTCTTCTTCTTTTGCCAGTTTCTTGGCCAGTTTATTCAGCTCCTTTGATTTTTCTGCACTTAGTTTTAATTTCTTCTTTTTAGGTTTATCCATTTTCTTTAACTCCTTGGACTTCTGTTTTCCTTCTCCAAAAAGCTGTTCTACTTTTTCTAGCTTCCGTTTCCGTTTCTTCTCTGAAGAGTCTTTTCCTTTTATTTTTAATGGCTTCTCTTCCATGCTGTCATCCTTCATCAATATAAAATTAGAAACAATTTTAAAGCAAGACATTTATTTTATTTTAAATAATAATCTTTCTTACTATTTTTTCATTCATTTTAAGTAGGCTCCACTTCTGGCACGAAGCCCAACGTGGAGCTTGAAATCACAACCCTAAGATCAAGACATCAGCTGAGATCAAGAGTAGGACACTTAACTGACTGAGCCACCCAGGTACCTCTAAAGCAAGACATTTATAAAGTTTTATTCTCTTATATGAAGTATCTTGAGTAGACAACCTTAACAAAAACAAAAACAAAAACAAAAACAACAGAAACAGAAAGTAGAACAGAGGTTACCGGGAGCTGAGGAGAGAGGATAATGGTATTTATTGTTTAATGTGTACAGAAGTTCTGTTTGGGATGATTATGGAAATTGACAGTGGCAACAGTTGCAGAACACTGTAAATGCAATTAACACAACTGAACTGTATACTTAGAAGGATTAAAATGGTAAATTTTATGTTGTGTACATTATATATAATAAATGTTCTAAAGATATTTAAAAGACATTTTAAGAAAGCAAATATAGGGGCACCTGGGTGGCTCAGTCAGTTAAGCGTTTGACTTCAGCTCAGGTCATGATCTCATAGTTTGTGAGTTCGAGCCCCGCGTCAGGCTCTGTGCTGACAGCTCAAAGCCTGGAACCTGCTTCGGATTGTGTCTCCCTCTGCCCCTCCCCCTTTCACGCTCTGTCTCTGTCTCTCAAAAATAAATAAATGTTAAAAAAGAAAAAGAAAAAAAAAAGAAAGAAAGAAAGAAAGAAAGAAAGCACCTGGGTGGCTCAGTCGGTTAAGCTTCCAACTTCAGCTCAGGTCATGATTTTATGGGTTCATGAGTTTGAGCCCCACATCAGGCTCTCTGCTGTCAGCGCAGAGCCCACTTCAGATACTCTGTTCACCCACCTCTCTCTCTGCCCCTCCCCCACCTGCACAAACACATGCACATACTCTCTCTCAAAAATAAACAATAAAAAACGAGAAATCAAATGTTAATATTCAATGAAAATAATGGCAAGCCTATATAAAACATCTGACTTTAGATTACTAGGGAAAAAAGATTGTTGTTAGCATATATTAGTATAGTGTGTAGCACCTCTGTTTAACGGAGATAAAACATACACATAAAGCTAAAAGCACGAAATGTACACTGAATTATGTAACAAGTTTTTTGGTCTTCATTTACTACTACTACAGTTCTTTACTAACTCACAATTAATAAATTCCTGAAGGCCAAGAAGTTATCAAAATGGTTGGCAAAACATAAAACTATATCCATGATCTCATTACAAAAGATACGTAGTAACTTTGGCAAGGGCTAGAACAAAAAAGTCTTATTTTTTTTTTCAATTTTCTAATATTTTTCTGATTTCTATTATATGCCAATGTAATAAACATTAAAAATTTTAACAGTAAAAGTATGTCTAGCAACAGGAAGTACAAGGAGGAGGTAAAGAAAGAAATACTGAAAAACATTAAGCTTGATAGTTACTTAAGAAACACCACTTGAGAACTCATTTTGTGACATATCTGAAACTGGAAAATCTTTGACAGGAACCTAAGAAACCGCAGAATGCAGAACACTGCATTATAAATGTCTGAAGTCTATCACATCTTGCACTATAAATTTACCCTCTCAATACTTTGTGTTTCCTTATGTGTAAAATAAAGAGGATCAGATGAGATAATGGATGAGAAGTAAACCCTTTGTATTTTGGAAAACACTATCTAAATGAGACTACCTTTGATCTGAATTCCAAACCAAAAACTATCATATGCCATGTATATCTGTATCAATTGTCAGTGACATCGTACCATTCCATTACATGGAAATAAGTAATGGAAAAGAATAATGAAAAGAATAATGAAAAGAACATTAGAAGTCCAGTGCCAGAGCTGGAATCCAGGTCTCTTTGTTTTTACTAAATGTGTGATCTAAGCAAGTTTCTACCTCTCTGACCCTTAATTTCTTCATGTGTAGAATGGGCTCAATACTTGCCCATCTATCCTTTCCTCTCCCCTTTAGGATTATGGTGAGGATCAAATGAGATCACAGATAGAAAAACATCATATAAACTGCAACCTGCTATGAGGTATTAATATATGAACATGGACTTTCTTGCCTACCCCAGTCTGCTTCTATTTAACCTTTCCCTTTTATTCTCCCCTCCTCCCCTATTTAACCCTTCCCGTGCTTCTTTTTTCAACCACTATATTTGCTTCTGCCTTCTCTTTTGGGCCTTTCAACAGTGGGAGTCTGGGATAAGGAAGTTGTTCCTTCCTTAGAAGAACTGGTAGTTTTCAGTGCCCTCTTTTCTTTTTAGCAGAAATGGTGTTTACTTTTCCTCCCCCCCCCAGATATTATATAAAATCTTAATAAAGAAAACCAAAAAGCAGAACTACTTTTGGCTTAATGGAAAAAAAGTAGGATAGCCACAGTACTACCCACTCAGCCATCCCCATCCTGGCATTTGTGGTACCTCCAAAGAACCAAGGCATTCTAAAAATGTTAAAGCCATGGTTTAAGTTTTAAATTCTTGCCTCCATGATATGCAGGAATCTGTCTTCAGAGGGTGGGTGTGTGGCCTGCAAAATCCGCCAAATGTGTTGAGTCTCATCCAGAGATACTTCTAGGAGATCCCCAACCATCATAAGTTCTTCCAGCTGGGCTTTAGCGCCGGGTGACAACTCCAACACTGGAGGTTCCAAACTCCGGGGCACCAAAGGGCTCTTCCGAGGTTGTTTCCTGGGGGTACTAGAACCTTTCCAATAAAACAAAAGACAAAGCAAAAAAATGAAAACTATCAACAAACTGTAATGTTTCCAAAGTAAATATTTAGGGGAATGGTTCCTCCTCCTCTAATACTTTAGACATCTGAATTCACTGCATCCATATTAAAGTTAGAATAAAATCTTCAAAAAATACAAACAAAAAAGATCTCGAATTCTAATGCCCACTTTCAAAAATTAGCTAAGAATAAAAATCTGGATCCTTACTGATTCTTTACTCTGTGACTGAAGTGGAAAGGGAATGTGAAAGAATCTCTTAATCCATTCTCTCTCTGTTTTAGAGGGGACCAAAAGATTAGTAAGCACATGAGCTGCCCTATATAAATAAGGTGCTATCCTCCTAATAAACCAACGATAATATGCTGTTCCATAAAATCCTAAATGAAGAAACACCCTTTACTTCCCAGACGTGTGACCTAATGATATATTTTCAATGGGGGAAAGGAAAGTGGACATACAAGAGCAATTATCTACCAAAGAAAGGAAGAACTTTCTAACAAAGCTTTCCAAAACAAGAATGAATACTCTTAAAAAGCAACAAGTTCCTCAACAACTGGTAATGAACAAATAGAGGCCTATTAGAGATTTTATATTAATGAAAGATGGAACTAGAGAGCCTCAATAATTCAGTGCAAGTTTTTTCAGGTTACCACCTAGTAACATAAAATGCAAACAGGGGCGTAGCTTTTCCTAACCAAAATTGCATTTTCGGGTTTTACTAGCATTTCATGGCTAGGATATACATTTAAGAGAGATTCACAGGGGCGCCTGGGTGGCGCAGTCGGTTAAGCGTACGACTTCAGCCAGGTCACGATCTCACGGTCCGTGAGTTCGAGCCCCGCGTCGGGCTCTGGGCTGATGGCTCAGAGCCTGGAGCCTGTTTCCGATTCTGTGTCTCCCTCTCTCTCTGCCCCTCCCCCGTTCATGCTCTGTCTCTCTCTGTCCCAAAAATAAATAAACGTTGAAAAAAAAAATTTTAAAAAAAGAGATTCACAGTCTTGATTAATACAATTTTTTTTCTCACTGGTTTCAGGCCTATCTTCTCCACATTGCTTTAAAGGTAATACCTTGAGAACAACTCTTAGAAGCAGAAGAATAAGCATGTTCTGCACAGAACGAAGGTGCTGTCCACATGTGAGTGACCACCTCTTCAGACTTAATGGGAATTTCTTCATCACAAAAAAGATTGGGTTCTAGACTACTGGAGGACTTCACACTGGCTGTGTCCTGAGGAAGAAACAAAGAGGGGTATTCAGAATTAGAACCACTTAACTTACCCTGTGACAAAGATCTAAATGCAGGCTTTGTAATATACTAAAAATACAATTGTAAAATTAGATACATAGTATTAAATAGGACAGAAAATGCCCACTGGGAGGAAAAACAGTAATGATTACAGTTTCAAGCCAAAAGGGAATGAGTAAAGCTCAAAAATAATCCACAGAGATAATAAACCTCAAGAAAATTACTATTAGGGGAGCCTGGGTGGCTCAATCAGGTAAGTATCCAACTTCGGCTCAGGTCATGATCTCACAGTTCATGGGTTCAATCCCACGTTGGGCCCTGTGCTGACAGCTCAGAGCCTGGAGCCTGCTTCGAATTCTGTTTCTCCCTCTCTCTCTGCCCCTCCCCTGCTCGTGCTCCATGTCTCTCTCTCAAACATAAAAAAAAAAAAAAAAAAAAAGGTACTATTAAATAATCTACCTTCTACAGTCTACAACTCATAAAAACTCCTATACCAAGTTAGACAATCTTGACACTTAAAATGGACTTAGGAGGGGAAGAAAGGTTTAGACATGGTGTCTTAAGGACACAAATCATTTAATCCAGGAGGCACCTGGGTGGCTCAGTCAGGGGTCCAACTTGATTTTGGCTCAGGCCATGATCTCATGGTTTGTGGGATCGAGCCTCGCATTGACTTATAGCATGGAGCCTGCTTGGGATTCTCTCTCTTGCTCTCTCTCTCTGCCCCTCCCCTGCTGGTGATCACTCACGTACTCTCTCTCTCTCTCTCTCAAAATAAATAAATAAACTTAAAAAAACATTTAATCCTCTCTAAAGGTTTTCAAACCTAGAAGCTTATCAATTGCTCTTACAACAAAAAGCCTCACTGACAACATTCAAATTATATACTTCTGACAGCTCTAGTTGGTTCTCAGATTCCCCTGTAGTTTGTTTCCAGAAGCTCACATGTACAGCTTTAATGAACAATCAGGAAGACAGAAATCACAGGTATTTCAACAAGGATAATTTAATAAAGTGAACTGGTTAGATGTATATTAAAGGCTGAAAAGGCAAAACGGAAACACCAAGCTAACACCAAGAGAGAGTTGCCAACCCTAGAGCTTGAGGTAACAAAGCTCAGAGAAGGAGCCCTGTGGAGTTGGGACCCATACCTCTGAGAAGGAAGTGCTGGCCAGTTAGTTCTGCTATCTCTAATGGAACATGATGTGGTTGGTTTCAGGGATGTGAAAAAAAACAACCACAAATTGGAACCAGTTCCCGATGCCAGAGTAAAAAAAGAAGGGGGAAAAAAGCATGCAATTCAGATGACACAAATGGAGGCTAAAACAGGGGAAAGATCATGTCCCTTCTTACTGTCCAGGCCTTTTAATATTCTCTAATGTCCTCTTATTGGCAGAAGGAAGGCAGTAGGCAGAAAACAAATGTGTAGAGCAGGAGTTGGTTGGCATATTGCAACCCAGTTGGCAGCTCACTTTTTGTATGGAGTAAGAACTAAGAATAGTCTGTATTTTTAAAGAGTTGTGGGGGGAAAAAAGAATATGCAATAAAGACCACATGTGGCTTACAAAGCCTAAAATATTTACTAAGATTTATTTGTGTTATTTATCTAGTTGTATATTAATGTGTGTTAATATATACACATTACAGAAAAAGTTTAGCAACCCCTAGTGTAGAGTCCCATCCCCAGCATCACAAAGCAGAGTACAGAAGAGTGAGTTAGGAGATGAGAGACCACAGGGGTGCCTGGGGGGCTCAGTCTGTTAAGCATCCGACTCTTGATTTCAACTCAGGTCATGATCTCATAGGTTCGTGGGTTCGAGCTCCACACTGGGCTCTGTGCTGACAGTGCAGACCCTGCTTGGGATTCTCTCTCTTCCTCTCTCTCGGCCCCTCCTTCTCTCTCTCAAAATAAATAAATAAATTTAAAAATGAAAAGGAGATGAGAGATCACAGCTTAAAGACTAGCACAACACCTGCCTGATTCTCTTTGTACAGTGGACAAGAGGAAGATCATGAGACTATCCTTAATTAAATAGGACACTTAAAAGGTTTTATAAGAGAATTCTAAAAGACAATGTCACTCACTGAGAATTTAGGAATAGCAGTTTACAGTCATCTTCCCTATTCAAAAATTTAATTTCTAAAAACCATCAAGATGAAAGAATACTTTAGTGCACCCCTGCTTTAGTTCCCAGATGCTTCTTCTCAATGACTAGAATTGTCTTTCCTGACTTTGATTCTACTCATTTCATTATAACTCATACACGGAACTTTCTGTTAAGATTTCAAAATGGAAAGGACAGTGATCAGAAAATAATGATGGAGGGGCACCTGGGTGGCTCAGTCAGTTAGGCATCTGACTTCGGCTCAGGTCATGATATTGCGGTTCATGAGTTTGAGCCCACATCAGGCTCTGTGCTGACGGCTTGGAGCCTGGAGCCTGCCTCTGATTCTGTGTCTCCCTCTCTCTCTGCCCCTCCCCCGCGCATGGTCTATCTGTGTGTGTGTCTCTCTCAAAAACTAAACACTAAAACAATGTTTTTAATAAAAAAAAAAAAGAAAAAGAAAACAATGATGGAAAATAATTATAGCTAAAAAGAGGTTTTTAAAAAAATTACTTCCCCAAGGTGATGCATGAAATGTGAATATGTACAATACTGACTTAGGTAAGATAAAGACACATTGTTAGCCCTCGAACAATCACTGAAAACAAACAAAAAGAGGTGTAAGGCAAGAAGTCAATAATGGAAATGAAATGAAACATTAAATTTTTTTTTAATTAACCCAAAGAAGGCATGAAAAGTGGAACACAGGAACAAAAACAAGAGATTAATAAAAAATCAGCAAGATGATCAACTTAAACACAATCATGTCAACAACTATGTTAAATGAAAAATGGACTAAAAAAAAAAAGAAAATAGACTAAACACTACCAATGAAAAGACAGAGATTGTAATATTACTTTAAAAACAAAACACAAAAAACAAGACTTAACTCTGTATTTTATGAATGCATATATATGTAGAATTACAGTCCAGAAAGGACCCTCTACATATATGCTATCTACAAGAGACATATTTTAAATACAAAAAAATTGAGTCTTTCCACCAAAGCTCAAGCCATCCAAGGATTAAAAAGGAGCACTTGCGTGGCTCAGTCGGTTAAGCATCCAACTTCAGCTCAGGTTACAATCTCGCGGTTTGTGAGTTCGAGCCCTACATTGCACTCTGTGCTGACAAGCTCAGAGCCTGGAGCCTGCTTTGGATTGTGTTCCCTCTCTCTCTGCCCCTTCCCCACTCACAGTCTCTCTCTCTCAAAAATAGATAAACGTTAAAAAAAAAAAAGGTGGGGGCGCCTGGGTGGCTCAGTCGGTTAGGCACCCCACTTCAGCTCAGGTCATGATCTCATGGTTTGTGGGTTCGAGCTCCACGTTGGGCTCTGTGCTGACAGCTCAAAGCCTGGAGCCTGTTTCAGATTCTGTGTCTCCCTCTCTCTCTGCCTCTCCCCTGTTCATGTGCTGTCTCTGTCTCAAAAATAAATAAACATTAAAAAAATTATTTAAAAAAAAAGGGAGTGTTAGAAAAGAGGGGCACTTGGGTGGCTCAGTCAGTTAAGCATCCAACTCTTGATTTCGCCTCAGGTCATGATCTCACAGTCATGAGATCGAGCCCATGTCGGGTTCTGTGCTGATAGCACTGAGCCTGCTTGGGATTCTCTCTACCACCTCCCATGCTTGCGTACTCTCTCTTAAAGTAAATAAACTTAAGGGGAAAAAAAAAAAAGGAATTAATCACGTGAATATGCAAAGGTTATGCCAGACACAAACACAAAAGATCCATGACAAATTTTGCTTCATTAAATATATATTTTCCTAAGTAATGATTTTCTTAAATTGCTACTCAGTGATTCAGTGGTGATTACAGGATATTACATGCAAATGAAGTAATCCAATAATGCAAAGCACAAATTAGATGCTATGATAACTAAGATCAAATGACTGATTGTAGTTTTCTTTTTTTTTTTTTTAACGTTTATTTATTTTTGGGACAGAGAGAGATAGAGCATGAACGGGGAAGGGGCAGAGAGAGAGGGAGACACAGAATCGGAAGCAGGCTCCAGGCTCTGAGCCATCAGCCCGGAGCCTGACGCGGGGCTCGAACTCACGGACCGCGAGATCGTGACCTGAGCTGAAGTCGGACGCTTAACCGACTGAGCCACCCAGGCGCCCCGATTTTAGTTTTCTATGTAATTACCTACTCTTCTTCCTCAATCAGTAAGAGGCTCTCCCTCAAGCAAAGATACTAAATTTAAATTATTTTAAAGATGAATTCATAGTCACAAATCACCAAGCTAATTGTAAATAAATTGGCAAATAAAATTTTAATTACACAGGAAGTGTTTGTTCCATGAGAAAATACTCAAGAGTTTAATTTTTTTTTAATGCAGAGATACCTACATTAAGGTGAATGTGACCTTGAAAATTACCCCAAATCTTGCCACCTACCATTCTTCTATTTTTCTACATTGCCAAATATATCGCCAACACTATAAATTCATGATTCATATTGTAAGTCTTCCCTACCAAAGAAGAGCCCATAAGCTAACACCACTGTAGAAATTTTGCAAAAAAGACTAGTCTGTACAACCATATCAAACCACAGGTTTGATCCCTAGCCTTAAAATCATCTAATACTTTTGATGTTTTGTTTTCACAGGTTACCAGTCTGCTTCCAAACAAAGTCCACCCCATTCAGCAATTCTAGAGCACTGGTTGATACTTAATGTGCTAGAAAGATAACAACCCAGTTATCAAAGGCCTCCAAGCTATGGTAAACTGGCAATTCTAGTACTAACTTCTTTGTGGCATGGGCCACATTCCCTTTCAGC